AAATTTAGAGTACAGAATATAGTTAGTTACAATGCAACATGTTTTAATTAACCAGTGAGAATCAACCTCTCTTTAGGAAAATAAAAAGCATAAATACAACACATGATTAAAATTGATCACTTAAATCAAGGTTTCCTGCTTGTTGATTTAAATCATTATTAAAATTGGTGATTTATATATTTTTGATTTAAATCAGTCCACCCAGTATAGTATAGTCAAGTGTGTGTATTTGCTAGTTTGAAAAAACTGCCAACTTTGGTGTCTGTACCAGACAACAGAGTAGTGTTAGCAACTGATTAAAAATAGTGAGAGATTGTTTATTTAAAAAATCAGGATGAATTCATCTAAAAGCTAGCAAATATTATCAGAATGACTTTTAATTTTAAAAAATACTATTTTGTCATCCAGAAGCTGGCAACAATATAAAGTCTTTAGATAAAAAAGGTAAATTTTGTTCATTATGATAAAAATAGTCTAGCATTAAAAAATATACTTGGTCCCTGCATAGGCTGCAGTGCATGGGCCTTGCCTAAACAGATTGCTGCTGAAAATGTGCATCACCTGGAGCCACACTTACTCACATGTTTTGGGACTTATATAATAACAAGACAACTTAAAAATTATTTCCCAGAACTACATTTGGCATATATCCCTTCAGCTCAGAAACGTTCCAATTCAAGGAAAGCTTGGTTCTCTAGAACAGAGCTTGTAGCCCAATGACTCATATTGCTTAGATGGAAGAGCAGACTGCTGCCAGGGATAGACGCTTGGCACAGCAACTTGGCTGACCTGGCATCTAAAAAGCAGGTAACATTTCAAAGAGGGACCTCACACAAATTTGAAAAGATTCGGTATGACTTTTTAGAAATCTTTGATTAATTCCTAGTGGATAGAAACGAAGCTGCCACTCTCTGTTCCCATCCTGCCCCCTTCCTTCCTTTCCTTTCCCCCAATGAAACCAACTGGGCTCCATGCAGGCTCAGCAGTCCACAGTGAATCACAGAGCAGGACCAGAGCCTTATACTATGAATAAATATTGTGACATACGAGATAATAACATAATATCAGCAAGACTAATACCTCTGTATTTTGTTTAAGTCAGACAATAAACCATTTATTTTTTAAAACGTAATTAAGCAGTCTCATAACAAATCTGTTAAAAGGGTACTGTCAGCTTGAATTGATTTCCACAGAACTACTTGTGTGAGAGAACTTATTCACAAAAATAAGTATTTGAAGGATCTAACCCTAATTTTATAATAAACAATTTTTTATAAAACCTAGGGCCAACAGCAAAACAAAATCAAACCAACAGAAACTGCTATGTTTACACAAATAAATATTCCTCTGCAGAATCTGAAACTCAAACACTGCAACACTAGGAACCTGAAAGTGAAACTAACTATAAACAAAAGTAAAACCAAATTAATTAAAATTCTACATTGTCCAGGATGAGATGAGAGAAGTACAAAAAGTAAACATAGAAAATACATAGTGACAAATATATTGGATTTTAAAAATTATTTCACTTTTAATAATTATAGTAATAATACGGGTAATTGGTATGTAGGTTGAAAATTATGTTTAAACAAATATGTATTTAACTGACAGTAGCTCTTCAAATCTTTACGCTCATTATATAAAAACCCTACATGAAAAGTATATTAAGGTTGCCAAGTCAAGTGCTCAAAAGTTAGGAAATACCACAATTAAGGCTGCCCATGTAACCTTAATTTGGCCCCTCTTGTGAGATAGCCTTTAATTACATTACCATATACAATTTTTCCATAGAATTTTGCAAGTTTAATATTCTTTTAATGTACTTTTATGCAATTTCCAAAGGTTTTTAAAACTTTAAAATTGAAAAAACAAAAATTTCATCATGAAGCATATTGAGCCCCACATGGGTCATCAGCAGGGTTGGGATCTTTAGATCCACAGCAAAGTCCTCTATCACTTGAGTTAACAGAGTAACTGGTAGCAGTAGAAGGTTATCTTCTATATGGACCTGCTAGTAGAAGAGGATGGAGACACACACTTTGCCAGTAGCTTTCACAACAAATTGCTATCAAAGGAATGTTCCGACGCCAGAATAATCGGTTCAATTCCAGGTTCTGGAGGGGAATGTGCTCTAGTCATTACAGATCCTTCTGTACCTGTCCTCCCCAGCTTCTGCCCCTGTCTCTTCGCCTGCTGCTATCCACTTGGATTCCTACCCCTCCCCCAGCTCCCAACCTTGCCCCTCTTCTGCAACTCCCAACCCATTTTCATTCCTGTCTTTCCCCGTTCCCAGTTCTTGCCCTTCTCCACCTCTTGTTCCCATCCCCGACATCTTCTGACCCCCTCAGCTCCTGCCCTATCCCACACTTCTGCTCCTAACCCCTGCATGCCCAAATCCTCCCTTCCTGCATCTCTTTCCCCTCTCCCCACTACTTATCACTCCTCTTTATTTGAGCATAGCTGTTTCCTCCATCTCTTCCACAGTGCCTCCTCTCAGTTCTGGTGCTCAGCACCACTTCAGCCTCTGGAAATGAGGAGGAGCAACCAGAGGGAAGCTGCCTGCTCAGCCCCTGCAGCCTTAGGTTGGAGGATGCTCAGTCACTCTGTAGAGATGGCACATGCACAGAGTGGAGCTGTGAGGAGATGGAGCATGCTCAGCGCAGAGTCTTCAGAAAATTTAGCAGCTGAACTCTAACAAATCTCCACTGAGCATGTGCAAATTGAGGTTTTTTAAAAGCTTATAACTTGGCCAAATTTGCATACATTTTCACAGAAGCAACAAAAGGTACATCCTTGCCACCGGGGTGACATCCCTGCCAAATTTTAATTCCCTGCTCAAAATCATGGAGGCATTAGAGCTTCCCAAAGAAATGGTTGTAAGATTTTATTTTTTTAACATGGACAAAACAATATTTTTCCCTACTATCATTCTCAGAAGTGACTGGACTATTTTAGCTCAAAATTAAAAAAAAAAATCAGCCATAGGCAGACACCAACATGGAAAATTTCAGCCCAAAACATTTACTTTTCACAAAGTTAAGCGGTTGAAAACAGAGATTTATAATGGGAAGTGTTGGGCAACCTTAACTATAGAGGTCACTACTTGCACTGCTTATAATTAAGTTACAGAAAAACTTGTTGAAAATTTTACTGAAAAGATGATGAAATCATAGCTCTGTATCTTAAAATACAAGAACAGACAAACAGTGTTAGTGTTAAGTTCATGACATATATTATTGGCCCCAAACCCTCACACATGCAGGTTACTCGTGGGTACTCACATGAATAACATTACTCCTAAATGCAGTCTGGTTGTTTGGGCCTTTCGTTAGCCAGCCAATAGGTTTCAGAAACAGACACAGATCAATGGTTGAGCTGATTACATCATGAAACTGCAATCACTAATTATTTAATCTAACTAAACAAACATCACTATGGGAAACAAATTAGCATTTCATACATGAGTGAAGGAGACAATTTTCCACTTCAGGGTACAGCCACAGTGGACACTTGTTGAATTTGTACACTTAAAGCTCATTTTATGCATGCCCACACTAAGGGGTTTTATAGCCTTTCTGGAGATTTAGTACCATAAAAAGATTAAAGTTCCTCTGCTGGCTATAATATTTATAACAGCTAATTATTTCTAAATCACTGGAGTGAAAGTAAGATATCATCCTGTAAGCAGTTAAGGAATATCAAGTAAAGTTTTTGGATTAGCATCCTCACTAATTGCTAAATCACTCCAGTGCCCTGACAGGAAAAGAACGCTACACAACTCTTTAAGAAACAAGGTCCATGTTGTTAGAAGTCTATTTAGCAACTTTTCTCTGGTCTGCAAACGAAAAGAAAATTAGAAGAAAACTGACAAACGGTTTAAATTACAAGAAGCTCTTGGCAAATGACAACCTTGTGGCCCAGTCCTCAGACAAAACTCTCACTGACCTTAGTGGGAACTTTGCTTGAATAAGGACTGCAGCATCAATGCCCAGATCCCCAGATCACTCTTCAACTCTGTCTGAATACAGCCACATGATAATTTTTGAGGCCATGGGACCATCAGTGCTTTCCCAACTCACTTTCCATGTTCAAGCCAAATACTCAAAAACTAAAACGAACGTGTGTGTGTTTTTCTGAATGGACAGTAGCTGACAACCCAAGTTCTTACACCTCCTACTGTCAGAGGTGATGTCCATTAAAATGCAAACCATTTGCTATACAGCGTCCTGACATGAGTGAGTAACCCAGAATACACAACCTCCATCCTGCTAGCCAGGAAGGGAAGCTCGTGTGTGAGGCTCAGTACATGTGCCTCTGCCAGAGGGCCACAGGGGATCAAACCCCGCCCACAGCATGAAACCCAGGCTTAGGCGAATGGTGGCGGCTTGGGGCAGAGCCCTGAGGGCTCAGTCTCGTTCCCTTCTGGTTCGACTCAGGCGGGGGTAGCCTATCATGCCCAGAGTGGAGCTGTGCGTGTGTCCACACGCGTCTCCCTGTCCTTGAGGGCGCGGAAAATGCGAAGAGTGTGAGGGGGCTGACCCAGCGACGTGTGTGTCAGTGCGCGCACACACACACACACACACACACACAGGAGCCACGTCCCCGGCTCGCTGTCTCGCCCCCCTCCCCCCGGCATGGAGCGGCGGGCTGC